GAAGACTCGGAGCAGGAATGGACAATGTTTCTCGCGGTCAATGACGCGCTCCTCTGGCATGGCGCAAAGAAGTAAAAGTGCATTCGTATTTAACCGGAAAGTAGCTCTTCCCGCTCAAGTATCGATTTTTGAGCCAATCGTAAGTTAAACAGGAGACACTATTGGGAGGTGGAGCGAGAAGCAAAATGGCGGCGCGCAATGTGGTTCGTTTCTTAAAGTCGGCCAAGGTGTCCTTCTCCAGCTTCGACCGGCGGGCAACTGGTGCATGGTGAGTAATAGCTGCAGCAGTCCAATCTTTTTGTTTAAGGTCTCCTACGGCGGCGACTAACGTCTGACGGCGATCGCTGGCTATGAATGTCCCCAGCGAATTCTACCGACAGTTGACGGCGGAGAAGGTGAGCGCTGCGGAAGGTGATGCAAATGGACAACATATTTTCTAACTAGTATGTGTACTAATAAAAGACACGCAAAGTGAACCCCAAGGCGGAGATCGCGCATCAGACGTCGCTGGCCGGCATTCTGCCCACAATCAAGCTCGACTTCAGTACGTTGTCAACAGAACAGCCCGAGGAGAATGGAGAGCGAGGTGTCTAACCATTTTGTTGTGGATTTCATCTTTATGCGTGGTGCAGTCAGCGGTAGCAAGCATGTGATGGAGGTGCCCGACAAGAACGTGCGCGAGATCTTCGAGGAGGTCGATTTTCACTGCTCTCAGATTGAAACAGAGTACGAGAATCAGGGTAAGATCATCGAATAGACTGTCGGGAGACTGGACTAAGTGCAATGGTAGACAGACTCACGCTGCTCGCAAGTAACAGGCAATACATACAGGCGAGCAGATGAGTTTAAAATCATAAAAGCACTTGTTGGGTCGGATGCTGTTTGATTGAGCAATACGAAGTAGTACTTGAAGTAAATAGCTTGATGCGGTTACTGCGGATCCACGAGCGCGATTTCTACCTGCACTTCCTCGTTAAATTTGGGTTGCGAGGTGTATAGATTCAGAGTCTTGGCGCGTTCCAAAGAAAACCTCAGCAGGTGCTCTCTACACGCGCGACTTGAGCCTAAACAAGCACACATCATACACATTGTTACAGTGAGATGCACGACAAAAGTCTGGCGCGTAACTGATGTGCTCGTGTAAGTACCGCATACGCGAGCCACTCGGAGACTGACGTCTTGGT